ACAAAAATATTCATTTGTACTTGACTGGCCTATAAGGTTTGAAACACCGCACTTTTAAGAGAACTGCATATAATCTACATGTAAAAGACGAATTACAATTTGAAGAGCTGACAAAGCCAAGAGCAATGGGTATCAATGACAAACCATCGCTGAATGTGACCAAATGTATATCAGTCGTTGTTGTTTTATGTTGCGACAAYGTGCAAAAGTCTAACTCACGTTCAAACTATAACATTCTGAGGACTTTGACAGACCTGATAATTGGTTAAGGATTTTTCATGCTAATAGTTTTAAGAGCTCGCTTCTAATCTCCTAAGGTAACCCGATCTCTTTTATTCCCCACCTCGTGCCTTCTAGACTTTACTYGATACGATTTCATGATGCGTGAGCGAGCGGCGCGCGGATTGCACTTGACTCTGGATACAAAAACAATCTCAAGTATTGWTACAACTTCTTGTTTCCCATTAATTTCCCAGAGCTTTGAGCTGAAAAATAACCGCGATGGACGAGGGTAGGAAGCTGTTATTTGAATAGGAATTGAATCAGCAACGCTGTAATTGTCGTCGGCATGGTTTGATACCCGATCAAAAAAGGAAGAAGGAAGTGACTGATTCCCAGTAACCTTTGCCTTGTTCTCTACTAAATTTTCGTGCTGAAATTCAGCTGCCGACCTGTGTCTCCTTGACTGCTTACGTAACTAAATAAATACACCAGTGAATTGGTAGAATTTACTAAATTACTTGAGTGATTTTAGCGACTCTATTCGTGACTACTGATAATGGGTTATTTGCTCCTTTGGTTTTGATATATTTTCTCCTCTAGTGATGTATACGTGTTTTCTGTTTTCCTGCTTGAACCGGAATTGGGCTTGATATCATCCCGGGATGAAATCTTACTCCTCCAAAGAGTAGGTGGGCTTCAAAAGTTCAAATCAAAKTCCCGAAGACTGTCCTTAGACATTGATTTAAATGTGTTCTTCATTTGCTAGCTCAGTTCCTTCCATYGGAAACGGCGAGTCTCGCACTACCAAATGATTTCGCGAAGAGAGAAAAACAATTCAATTACCATAAAAGATTGCTGGCAAAAAGCACACCTTAAAAGCCTAAATGCAAGCATTATACCACCTATTAACACCGATTTTGCAGTGACAGTCTAGCGAAGAGGTATACCGCAGCAAATCACCCAAACTGGTTGTTGATTGGGGCTGGTATACTCYATAGAGGTCAGCTGGAAAGCAGATAACTTGAGTGGTAATATAAGMCGTTGCGTCATTCCTTTTTAATCTCTTAATTCATCGATGGGAGCAATTYGTTAGCATTTAGAAGTTTCTACGACTCTTATATACATTGTATCGTTTTGTGTATGTTTTTTGGGCCATGAAGAATATTTGGACATTTTTTCTGGCGATAGAGACAACAGGAAGCATGATACTCATCTATGGTACAACACCAGTCGTGTTATATCAATCAAAAATTTATCAAATAGAATAAACTTGTGAATATTTWAAAAACTACTTCATTCCTGTTTTTGACAAATTATTTCCCGGTTTAYGCGAAAAAACGCGCAATTGTGCGTTACGTTAGGTAAACGTTATTTGAATCGGAATCTTAGACGGCCTGTCATAGTTCGTTTAGAAAAGATTTGCGTTGAAAAAAATGACGAAAAAGCCTCAAAAAATGCGCTAGTATAACTTCTGTTAACCATTTTAAGCCTCAGACGAACCGCAAATGTGTTGAAACACAAGAATATTAGCATTAATGCAAATTGGATGGTGGAATTGACAGATAGAATTRTTTATAAGCAATATCCAATCAATAAAAGATAAGGCTACTGTAAGAAACGTCAGAAAAGCGTTGACATCTGAGTAAATTACCGTCAAAAGCGATGAAAAAAAAGAGAGAGATCTCTGAATAAATTTGTCTCGTAGAAATACCTGCTGTTAAGCCGAAYAAAAAGCTGGTAATCAACGCTTTTTATTTGGACAGACTAGCGAGAAGAAATAAACTCTTTAAATGTGTTATTTCCTATCATCTCTCCAAAATGAAAATGGCAAATTTCATCGATGAAATAATGATCTACTTAATGGGTTCCCTGTGGTCTCCGAAGTCTCACACGACAACTCTCACGACACGACTCTGTCTGTGCAGCCCTTTGCAGCTTTGGCCAAAACAAAAACAAAAAAACAAGAACTCGTTATAYCAGTTTTTCCTGTTCACTCGTCTTTGTATTAAAAAAATGGAAAAAAATCTTGTTGGGTTTCCTGTAGCTTTTTTATTTTGAGCTTAGTCTCTCTCTGAGCTTTCTAGCYCCGAATGGAACGCCTGGACAAATCTTGATTTCAACACACGTGCAAAAACTAAGTAACATATTCCTTCAAATCATGAAGTTTTCATTCAAAGTACGACAAATTCTATGGATATTCTTTATGTATTTTGCTATTTATAAAACGAATTAATGTTTTTGTTGATTATTTTGGGKTTTTTTTTAGTTTTCTAATTTGCTAGGTACGGTTTACAAGCAAGGTAATGTAGAGTTTACTACGACAGGAGATTGTGTCGTCAGTCCTGTAGGAAACAAGGTTTCTGTCTTCGATCTGAAAAAGTAAGCCCTTTTGAGTGATAACACTTAAACTATCAACTAGTCTAATAGACATTGCTGTATACCAATTCTCCATATTYTTAATTGCTGGGTTTCAATCAGCTGATAAATTAGCACTAACTGGCTGCGACGATATACTTATATCATATATATTGAATCTTAATACTATTACCGTACCAAAATCCTCAAATGCTTAACTTGTTTTTCCATTTTTTAAAGTAACAAGTCATGGACATTGCCTTTTGAAAACCGTTTGAATATCAAGAGACTTTGTTTATCACCTGATGACACAACTTTGATAACAGTGGATGAAGGTAAAAACAGTTAATATTTAACTGGAATATTGGGGAATTTTAAACCAAGCTGCAAGTCTTCAAACAGTGAGGTTAATATTCACCTTATTCACTTAGCCTAAGGTAAATGTTATTGTATCTATGATGCTCATTCAAGGCCTTATGTGCAGCCAAGCATGAAGAGGTTAGGTGACGTGTGTAAGGTGATACCCATTTCTCAAGACTGCCTTACACAAGAACCAAAGAGTAGTCCTAGTAAATGAGACACTTAGATTGGGAAATGGAGGACACTAGTATATATCAGCCTAAAATTGGGGGGATTGGATAGGTGCTGAAATAGAACACTATAATGGATATAACAAAAAGTGGGGTGGCTAAAGTCCTCTCAGACCCTCCCCCTCCGCAGTCGTTGTTGGAAAATTCCTGAATTCTCCCTTCTCACTATAGGTCCTACCGTTATGTATGATTCCCATCAAATCTTTCTAATTACAATCCTACTTTTTCCCCAGAGGGGCGATGTATTTTGTCCAACTTCAGAACCAAGTGTGCCATACATTATTTCAACTTTAAGAAACCTGTCGAAGACATTAGATTCAGTCCTAATGGAAGGTAAGCTTTATCCTGACCAAGATTTTATAATTACTCAAGTAACAGCTGTCAAGCAATGGTTGTAGTGCACTCTCGTCTCACCACTGGTGTCTTGGGTTCAATTACTGGACTCAGCATCACATGTGAGTGGAGACTGTTGAGTCTTTTCCTTGATTCCAAGTTTTTTTCTGGGTTCTCTGGTCTTCCTTCCTCCACAAAACACAAGACACTAAATAATTTCCAATTCAGTCTACCCAGTCTGTGCATACACTTAGATCAGCCCAGAGAGGTCGTTTTAGGGTTCATTCTATAAGTTAGCCTTACCTTGACTTAAATAGACCCAAAAGTTGTTTCAGAGTTCAATCTATGAGTTAGCCGTGCCCTGACTTAGATCAGCCCAGAGGTTGTTTCAGGGTTCAATCTGTGAGTTAGCCATGCCCTGACTTAGATCAGCCCAGAGGTTGTTTACCTTATCTTAATCTATTATTTATCTCCATTAAAATATTAGATATATTGCTGTCACACATGGAAAGCATGTTCAAGTATGGGTTGCACCAGGACACACCAAGGAGTTTGCGCCATTTGTATTACACAGAACTTATACTGGCAATTATGATGATACTATGTGTATTGACTGGTCGGCAGATTCAAGGTACAGCTCCTAATGTTGCTAACAGGCCCTAAAGTTGAGGGACTTGATCTGATTGAAAAAAGGGCAGGGATGCTCGTTGTACTTTTTAGGGTTCCAAATCTAGCTGGGATTTGGTTTCACAAAATTAAAAGTACCACCAGAGTGTAAGCCAGTACCTCTTAGGGTGTTCACATAACTTCATCTTTTACTAAAAGTTATAAGAATAACCCATCTTGAAGTTGAATGGGTAGTTCCAGAAATTATCCATACCCATCCCACAGAGGAATTTGGAATTTCCGAAGGGTGGGGGATGAAAATTGAAATTTCAAGGGTTAGGGGGGTTTTTTAAAAAATTCCTCTGTGGGGGAGGTATGGATAGTTTCTGGAACTCAGGGGAAGATCCAGAGGTGGTGATGTAGGTGACTAGTCACCCCTTTTATGCTCAAATTTCTCAGTATATTGTTAGTAACAGTCACCCCCTTTTTTCTCGAGTCCCTGGTAAAACCTTTGTAAATAGTCATCCCCCTTCTAAAATTCCTGGATCTGTCCCTGGAACTGCACATACAAATAAGAACTATTTGGTATCCAACTCTTTGTTCATTCCATAAATAATCTGTATTTTCTACACATAGGTGACAATTTCTATTATGCTTTTCTTCATTTTTTTATCAATAATTTTAAAACTTTCTTCTGGTATTTTGGTTGATTCTCCCCACTAGATGGAAATAATTTTTATGGTTTTATTGCAGGTTTTTTATTGTCGGGAGTCGAGACATGACAGCAAGGATATACTCCCTCGATCCTATGGAAAACTTCAAACCTGTGACTTTATCAGGTCATCGCAATACTGTAGTTGGATGTTTCTTTATAGGGAATACACTAGACGTATCCTTGTATGCAGTAAATACAATGCTAATTAATGAGTAATCATAATTAATTATTTGCCATCCAATTCTGAAACAACTTTATCTGGGCTGATCTAGGTCAGGGCATGGCTGACTCAAAGATCAAATTGCAACGAAAACAAGAGAACTTGGAGAAAAACCCTTGAATCAAGCTAGAGACTTACTTACAAACTCGGCTTAAAATAACGGCCAGAAATCGGACAATGTCCACGCAGATTGGAACTCATCCAGTCGAGTCTTTGCCTTGCTGGTCATTTTGACCAGTAACATTGAGCCAGGAATGAGGTATGACTGAGCTAAAACTAATTTGGCCAGTGACCATAACAAGTGACTGATTGGCCTTTATTTTAACCCCTGTACTCATCACATATTGAATTCAATTTTTACCCTGTCCCCCAACCACCCACCCCAACATCATGCAGGTAAATATTTTCTACATCCTGTATCCTTCAAATCCCAAGATTACCGAATGTTTTGATTTTCTTTAACACGATTGACTCAGGCGTTTACCATTGGAAGTAATGGGGTTCTCTTGTTGTGGAAATGTTCAACAAAACCTGAATATATTGAACCAAGGAGGAAACCAAGTGATGATGATGATGAAGAGAAGGAGAAAGATGAAGATGATTCACAATCAATGGTTAAATATACAAGAGAAGCCAAGTACGTAATCAAGTCTAGTTTGGTGAATACAGTCCACTCTAGTTCAGACGCTGGCCCTCATGGTCAAAGGAGGTCCAAGTCCACTCTAGTTACAGTGGATACACTTGAGACCATCTCTTTGGGTCCTTAGTTCAGGGTCAAGCATCTGTAATAGCTAGAGTTAATTACGATCATTTCTTTGTCAGTATTTTCCACCATGGATTTTGCTCCTGTCGGCAATAGCTATGTGTCCTTAATATCGGGGGTATCCGCAAGGAGAGAGTTGTGTTTACAGCTCTTACAAAAAGGGGTTGTGAAAGTTTTGTTGCAAGTTGTAGAACCAAGCCTAAATTGCACTATGGGCAATGTGAATAGGACATTAGCATGATGGCGTCATTTGCCTCCCACTACCTAGATGCTTCGTGAATTTTCTTTCTTATTTAAACTCGTATTCCCTCATGAGAATAGTAAGACAGTTGGTGCTAATGAACTGAACAAAAGAAAGTGTGCAAGGGAGTCTGGTAGTAGAGGTAATAACACCGTCATGCAAACATCCTATTCAAATAGCAAAAGGTCATGATGATATGGAATTTTCCCAAATTTTGTCTGCATGTATTTTCAACAAATTTTCTTTTGTGTTGACATTGTATGATCCACACTACTTTTCAAGCTTGGTGTAGTAATGCAAAATGCAACAAAACTTTTACCAACTTTTTTTAAAAAGCTGTATGAAAACATTCCCATTCAAAATTAAAATAATAATAATTTATCTATCGGATAGTGCTATTCACTCTTCATACAACCCTTTGCCTTCAAAAAATTAATAAAGATAAGGAATTTCAAAATTAAAAGGGACACTGTACGATGCCTTCTAGGTAACAGCCAACCCCTGCACTCCTAGGATCAACATTTTCCTTTGACTTTATTTTCCAGACATCACTTTGAGAAAGAGAACTTCACAGAGATCACCAGCTGCACATTCCACAAACCAAGTCAAGTATTGATTGTAGGGTTTTCTAATGGAGTCTTCACCATCCATGAGATGCCTGACTTTAATCTTATACAAACCCTCAGGTAAGTACAAGTTAAGTATACTCATGCTTTCCTATCTTTTCCCATTCCTTCCCATCCTATTAAATCCCTTTGTACCCTATCCCATCCTATCCCATCCCTTTCCATCCTATTAATT